GATGTAAAGTTGTTAGTAATAAAACTGTCAATACTGTACTCTCATCTCTACAGGCATTCAGTCACTTTACATTTGAAAGATCTGGTCATCAGTTGATTGTGGTTGATATACAAGGTATGTTTTGTTTTTCACATTACCAGCATGTTTCGGAGTCTGTTACCTTGCATTCATTATAGTTAAAAGATTGGGTAGACAACGTTGCTTGCATGCATGGTTACTCAAATTAATGTGTACAAAAACGAGACACTGCCAAGGTTTAACTAGGCAATTCTTGAGTTGACTGCTATGTATCAAAGAACTCTGAGGGACTCTAGTACACATTGTGACTAGAGAGAGAAATTCAAGTACTGTATCAGTGTATTTTGGGAGAGAAATTCCTATTGAATGTAATCTTATTAGAAACTCGCTAAATTAAAGGGAAATTTCATAGAATTTTTTGAACAATCTTTGACCTATCATTCCCTTCAAGATTGAAATGAATTATGTTTAAAAACCAATGAAAACTTGTACTTTGAATTCAGATAAATCTAAAATGCTTTTGTGCTATTTCTTTCACAAGTGTTAAATTAATTTACTTAAAAATGCTGCAAACAATTGTAAATCACTAAATAACATTCAATATAACATAAATTTATTTATTACCAGGGGAAAGTTTTTTTATTAACTGAATCTTAGAGCAATAAATTTGTTAAATTCTGGTAGGAAAGATAAATCTGAGTATTGGCAACACAAACTATGTCTCCTAAAGCCATAGTGCAATCCCATGGGTTGGAAGCTTCCCCTTTAAATTCTATTTTCACTGTGGCACATTTATCTTTGTTTTAAGTATTCAGTTTATTGAATGATAGTTTCACTGTATGTGCAATATCATTTTCTCATTAGGTGTGGGAGATTTGTACACTGATCCGCAGATCCACACATCCAAGGGAACGGAGTACAATGAGGGCAACTTGGGACCCAAAGGAATGGCTCTGTTCTTTCATTCCCACGCGTGTAACAGAATATGCAAGAGTTTGAAATTGACACCATTTGATACATCGGAGAATGAAAAAGTTGTGCAACAGTCTTTGGTCAGGCTGCAGGTTTGTGCACTTGTATATTGGCAACCCAGCACGTAGTCTGGATGGATGGATGGTCGGCCATGTAGCCAGGACCACTGGTTTAGTAGTTGTGCAATAGTTGAATTTTTTATTCTTTGGTTGCTAAGCAGCCAAGTACATAATGGCATCAATTTTGAATATGAAATATATTGTGTTTTTTTTATCATGGAATCATCACAGCTATGTACTTAAGAACATAGCACCAATGGATTAAGCCAACGATAAATCCTTATTTACTTTTTAGCTCCGCTGTCAACTTTGTCGAGCGGAGCTTATCATATGAGTGATTGTCCGTCGTCGTCCGTGTCAATGTTTCACTTTTTCGAATTCTTCTTGAAAACTACAAGCCTGAATGCTTTGATACTTTGATACCTCTCTCAGATTTGTTCATTTCATGATGATATCTTCAATTCTCTAATTTTGGTGAATATTTTTGTCATTTTTGGTAAAAAGTGATATTTTTGACTTCTTGTTAAAAACCGCTAGTCTGATTGCTTTTATATTACACATATAGGTACTACACGTGGTCCTCTGTCAGATTTGTTCATTTCATGATGATATCTTTAATTCTCTAATTTTAGTGAATATTTTTTTAATTTTTGGTAAAAAGTGATATTTTCGACTGCTTGTTAAAAACCGCAAGTCCAATTGCTTCGATATTACATATATAGGTACTGCATGTGGTCCTCTCTCAGATTTGTTCATTTCATGATGATGTCTTTAATTCTCTAATTTTGGTGAATATTTTTGTCATTTTTGGTTAAAAGTGATATTTTTGACTTCTTGTTAAAAACCGCTAGTCTGATTGCTTTTATATTACACATATAGGTACTACATGTGGACCGCTTTCAGATTTGTTAATTTTGTGATGATATCTTCAATTATCTAATTTTGATAATTATTTTTGGTGAAAAGTGATATTTTTGAATTCTTGTTGAAAACAGCAAGTTCTGTTGCTTTGATACTATACATATTGTTCATTTTCTAATGATATCTTCTGTTCTTTAATTGCGATGTGCAATGCTAACAGCGGAGCTATCTCAGCCGACTGGCTGCTTGTTTTTAGATACTTTAATAAGTCACATTGTAGTTCAACTGCTCACCTAAGATTGAGCTAGCACAATCATGTATGGAAAAACTTATATTTTGCTATGATAATGATTGAAATTATGATTTATTCATACCATAAATAAAAAGATTAATTGTAAATGATACCGTAATGTGCCAACTTAAATCCTAGTAACACAGCTCTTCTACTTTTCACCATTGGTAAATGCTTTATGTCAGTACTTATAGTACATTTTATTTGTATTATAGAATTCTGCTGCTACTATGGTGCGTGGATCAGAAGAACAGTGCGTGAGCCCCCGTGTATCTGGCAATATTGACATGACTGGCTACATAACACGTCAACGCACTCTTTCCATGAACTCTACTGACTCATATGACTCACGTAGTCCTGATAACATTCTCTCGCCCATTTCACCAATGTCACCAGGCAGTCCTGATGACATTGAGATGTATTCTCCACCTCCTAGTCCATTTTCATTCACACCACGCCGTATGCGCCATGATAGTGACAGCGGCACACTAACACAGGTGAGCTCAAATGTATCCGACCCGGATTTTCACCCACTTCTTAATAATTCTTCTAACTATGCCTATCGCCATTACTTCAGTCACTTTGCCGATCATGTACGCGGAAATTTAAGGGGTGATGAGGAGCAGAGAAGAAAAATTAGTAAAAACGAAGTAGATGTAAAGGACGATACTTTGACAAATCATGTAAGCGATGTAAAAAAAATTACTTCACAAATATAACAGAATGACTTAATCCTGATTCTTATTTACTTTTTTTGGGTTTTCTTGAATGAACCTCTGCGGTGTTCTGTCCATTGAAAACTAGTTAGAACACCGCACTGGTTGGGATGAATATGCTTGCTTTTATTTAAATTTAAACAAACACTATTATAATAAATTGAACTGCACAACCAAGCTCGGTACTGTATTGCCGTTATTAGAAGCACACTGTCGTTGAAAATTTGACATACTCCTGCCTATGTTTATGTAAGTGCTTGTAATAAAGGAAATAGAGTAGTTTTTTGGGCTAAATTAATTTTTATTGCACGTAAACTATTTTAATCTAGCATGTTAGAGAATACTATTCAAATTCAGCACGGTGTGGGTTATTTTAGCTAACATTTATTTCGTTAAATTCAAGACATAGCCACTTGAACAAAAAATGTTATCCTGAGATAACATATTGTTGGCTATAAATTGAAGTGTCGCTAATGCCAAAATTGACAAAAATGGTACATTTTACAGTATAAGTTGTGTCTCTGTGTTCTATAATGGATACCGATATGCATTGATATTACTTTATGTGAAAAAAAGGTAGCAGAACATGTTTTTGTCATTTTGACTTACTGACTACAGTGTTCTCCACAATCTAAAATAGCTGGTGGGCGACCTAATTAGCATAAATTTGCATATTAATTTGCATATCATTTACATACAGCATTCTAGCATTTATGTCATGAACTGCAATACACACTAAGTTATTTACTATTCTCTTTTTAATTTAATTGAAACATGTTACAATTATTTAAAATACAGATTGGTCACTATTAATATTTACGAAATGCAAAAAGTTTGAAATCGGTGATTTATACGTTCGCAAATTATTCTGCGTTCATGAAATGCAATTCGAGTAATCAAGAGCAAGTACAAAACATTAATGTAGAAAATATACAAGGTGATTTGTCGCCAAAACGAACGAT